GCCACCTTGGGCTTGCCATCTTGCCAGTGAGCGGTGGACTGTTCTGTCTCTTCTGTGCAGGGTCCAGTCTGTCGGCGCAGCGTCCTTCTCGGTGAGCGTGGTGTCCTGCAGTGTCACTACATCTGCTTCAACATCTTCGAGTACATTTTTGAGGATAGTTGCCTTTCCTCTCCACCCGTCGATGTTGATCTGCAGGATCTTCAGCTTCTTCTTCTTCTTTGCCTGCACTGGTGGTTTCTGCTTCTTGGGTGGTTCTGTCCCGGTCGCCCGTTCGCAGCCGCAATGCCAGCTGTAGTTGTTGTGGCTTAGAAGTTCTTTGATTGTCATCCTGAGACATCTTCGGTGTACCCACTTCTTGCAGTCGAAGCACCAGAGCGCGTACTCTTTTCCGACTGGCTTGTCGCAGTAGGCACACTGCCACTTCGATCCTGGGTGTGGGTGGATGTCGCCCACGCGGAGCAGGAGGCGTCCTAGATGCGCGGTGATCCTAGGGCGCCTTGACAAAAACCCGCCGTCTGGTTTCTTCCTGTGAGCTACCTGGTCGGTGGAGAATTGATGAGGCTGTTGTCTCATTGTCTATCGCCGCGTACAGGCTCTCCACTTGACAGAAAAGTTATTTTTTCACTCGCTTTATTGGTCGAATTAAGAAGAAAAAGAAATTCATATATCAGTCAACCCATTCCGACGTTTGTTTGTTTGCGTGGAAATTAAAATGATTTTGCTGATTATGCGTGGAAATTAAAATCAAAAGAAGAAACAAAAAAACTTAAACACAGCCGAATACAAATTTGCACCTTATTTTTAATGGTCGGAACAAAAAAAAATAGTTCAGGAAAATTCAGGAAGATAAGTTCTGCCAATTCCAATTTCTATAGTGCGATTGTTTGTTCTGTAAATATTTCATCAGAACAATTAGTCGAAATTATAAAGTTATGAATGTTTTTAGATTTTTTCTAGCACAAGCGACAAAAGTGATACATAAGATCAGGGGCGGGTCAAGGTCTTTTTAAAGGATCAAGGGGGTTAGGACTAGGGTTAGGGTTAGGTTTAGGACGGATTTTCATTTTCAAAAAAACTTTCGAAAATTTTGTCGAACTTTTTTTAAGGTCGACCAAATTGATTTTCTGTGCTCTCCCATATCACTATTTTCACAAAAATTTCTGCGCCATAGGCAAAATTTTGAAAAACAGGCGTTTTTAGGCACTTTTTCGAAAATGTTGACCAAAAAATCGAGTTTGTTTGGCGCGCGCTCCCCCCTCAAAATTAGTATATATGGGGCGCCGAAGGGTGTCTGTCACCAAATATGGATATTTCAAAATAGTACAAAAGGGGACCCTTTGGGTCGGCTTGGGGTCAAATCCCTGAGGAAGAGGCGTCTGCCCCCCGCCACCCCCTAAATCCGCCCCTGCATAAGATGATTCTCTAGACACTCCCATCTTCCGTTTTAATGCCATTTTCAGCTGTTCTTCCACAACAAGATTTACTTAGGAGTTCCAAAACAATCGTTTTTTGTTCAATATTTAAACTTAAAGCAGCTAGTTTTGTTAGGAGGATTCAATCTTATTTTAATGGGCCCGGCTTAACCCGTTTTTGCACTGAATTTGCATATATTGGCTGACACAAATAATAATTTTCTTAGCTTTGTTTTAATTTGCCTGTCTCTGTAAATTGACAAGTTTATGACGAAAATCTCTCCCGCCTGAAAAAAGCATTTGCTTAAGCTTTTTGGACATCTCTTGGTTCTTGATTTTTCTTAGCCGTTCTTGCTATTAGATCACTTAGCCAGAACTAGTGCAAGTTTTAGCCTTAACTTTTTCGTAGGAAGGAAACTGCTTTTGCCTTACATTATATTATCCCTATCTTTGGAAAAAAAATTGTTTCAGTCACGCCTGTGCTTTTCTTAGCATGCAGATTCTAGTTAAAATACAGACCGAGAATAGTTTTCATGGGCGAGGCGTTTAAAAACAATCGACGCTTTAGAAATAGAAGATACAGAATGTTGGGGTACAGAATTTATACAATTTTTGAAGGTCTGTTTACTGTCTAATTATTTTCGAGCAACATCTAATCCATTTTCGAAAAGTATTTTTTTTTGCTTCAGCACTGCCTAGGATTCTTTAATCCTCGAATAGCATCATTAAATACTATTCTTTGCCTCCATTGATTGGCCCGAAAATGTTATCTCGGATGCCAGCTCCGGTGATAACAATTATTCGTATAAACTGGTTCATTGTGCAGCTGCAGAGTCTTCCAGAGCGTCTCTTTAGCAAACCTCTTGGCTCTCTCTGAGTTTGTCTTTTTTCAATTAAATTTCTTCTATCGCAGAGACTTCTTCTATCGTTTCTAAACGCAAAGACTTTGATCTTATACCCACACGCCAGTGAGTTGTTCTCAACCTCAAGAGTTTTAGTTTTTAATTTTACAGCTTTCCATGGCTCCCTCCATAAGCTAAAATTTATCAGATGGTTGTTGTATCTCCTGATTCATCTTTTTTAATTTCGAGTTTGACGTATTTTGCGACTTGCTATTATCTCCATAACCTACTCCCTCTCGTTGTTGACCCTGCAGGTTTTTTAAATGTTCGCCTAATACAGTGCTGATTTAAATTAACCGGACAAAACGAGCTAAACTTGAAATTTAAAACAAGTTTTTCTCAAATTGCGTTGAGTTTAGGTGAAAACTTATGAAGATAAAACTTGCTAAAAATTTTTGCAGAATTACTATGGTGTAATTTGTTTTGCGAAATTCGGGCTCAAAATTTTACCCCAAAAATGGGTCATTTTGGTTTTTCTTAGTTAACAAAAATTACCCCAAAAATACCCAGTCGATCACAGACATAATTTTTTCAAAGTGAGACCCTTACGTAGCCCAACAACCTTTAAGAAGGTTATATTCTCCAAAACATTGTATAAGTTAACTAATTTTAGTTTAGTAGACAAAATAGTTCGTTTTTACTAAATAAAAAACCAACTTTTTATTTAAAAACATTTTTGATGTAATTTTTGATTAACTAAGAAAAGCCAAAATGACCCATTTTTGGGGTAAAATTTTGGACCCGAATTTTGCAAAGTAAATTACACCATAGTATTTCTGCTCAAATTTTAAGCAAGTTTTGTCTTCATAAGTTTTCACCTAAACTCAACCCAATCTGAGAAAAACTTGTTTTAAATTTCAAGTTTAGCTCGTTTTGTCCGGTTAATTTAAATCAGCACTGTATAAGAACTCGATTCACTACATTTGTTGTTTGCAGCTGTTCCAATGTTGCCACACTGCGATTCCGTGTGTTTACACCTTAAACTCAGTAGATATTGTTCATATTATTGTTTCGACTTTCGATACGAAATCAACGAAATAATTGTGCTCGGGGTGGGTTTTTTTTCTTCAGACAAATTTCGATTTTTTAACTAGCCATTTTTGACAAAAAATTTTTTTATCATTCGAAAGGTATTATTGTCCTGAGCTCAAATTTGAAAAGATATTTTACCTGTGATCATTTTTTGTAAAGTTACGGGGGTTTAAAAATTGCCATTTTGGCCAATTTGGGACAATTAACGCGCAATTTATTTCGCGCTATTAACGCGTAAGCTTCCAAATTCCAAATTGGTTGAAAGAAGCTTAATTGCCATAATTGATTTGTTACAAGGAGCGAAATTTATCCTTTCATACTTTATATGGCGTGTGGGGGATGAGTTTAATAAAAATTTTCAAATTTTAGGAAAAAAAATTTTTCATTTTGTTTTGTTTCATTTAATTTTTAAATGTTATTCTGCTCCATAAACCTTAAAAGGCAGTCGAACATTCAGGGCTTTGCCCTGTTACGAGCAGTCTTGTTTTCTTATTTAGATTCATTTTTGAAACACCAAATATTTGACATTGAAAGTCCAAAATTCAGAGTTTACAAAAAATTATGTGAATCGATTTTAAAGACAGCGGTAATCTTGAGGGCCTTGTTCTGACATACAAGCAGTCTTGTTTGACGAAACTTGCCACCTAATGATTTGAGGCAAGATATTTGGTCTCGTTAGCACGTTAAAAAGCTAAATGTGTGTGCGATGATCATAGCGTATGCGGTAATAAATTTCTAACAAAAAAGTTTTTAACCTGTTGATGTCTTTTTGAAAAGTTCACCAATGTTGTGAATTTTTTTCATAGACTTTATAGGGCAGTCAAAACATTTTGAGATTTGCCGTGATACGATTAGTCTAGTTTCCTTATAGTTTCTTTCTTTTGTTGCGTATAATGTCGTTTAATTGCTGATTAATGTTACTTAATTTCAAAAATTAGATTGAAAAAATACATTCATCTCCCAAATGAGGAAATCTTCTGCTGTTAATATAGAGGTCAACATGATAAATAATTTTGCCCAGTGAGACTGATTTTCCGGTTCTTGAATCTCAATCGGCGTGAATTCGTTTGTTCGTTAACAACAAAGACTTTTTGACACCAAAAATTACCACTGAAAAAAATGCCACTGAAAGGAATTTAATTTGATAAACCAATAGACACCAATTTCACTTTAGATTAAAAACGCAATCTGGGTTCAATTTTTTCCTATTGCCTAAAAAGATGGTAAAATAAAATACGGGGGTATCTTTTTGAACTTTTTACCTCTCTCCAATCTTGGTAGGTAAATGGAAAAACAATTTTTATTGTCTGTCACAGTTAAATGCTACAGTTCTCTTATTCTGAGTTTTAGAAAACAACAAAGTTTTTGGAATATTGAATTATGCTAAAATTAAAATGAGTAAAATAAAAGAAATAAAAGAGTTCTGATCGACAGTTTAGAATTTTATTCAGTTTTAGTGTGTGATTTTTGCAATTATCTTCGTTCAACTTCAGCGAAAAAGTTGATTGGCATTTATCAGCCGATGTGCTTTCGTTAGATTTTTTTTGTAACTCAAATTTCTTCTGGTGAAAACTATTAATGGCAACGTAAAATCCGTTGCTGAAAGCGGGTCAAATTGGCTTAACAGATGACTGTTTCTCGCTGACAAAAATTTCTAACACGAAGATGACAAGTGGCAAGAATTAGCGTCTGACAAAGAGCAGCAGTTCGAATCCCCGTCGCCCCCAGTTGGAGAGAAATAGGGCGATTGGGAGCTATTATTGTGTTGTGAGAGCGTCGGAGGGGATGGGGAAACGGGTGCCGCTTGTAGAAGAGGCAGTAGGTCTGCTCTGTGGAGAGGTGACTGGGTAAGAACAGCTGCGAGGTCCAGTGAATCCTGGTTATGAGTCCTGCATTCCCACATGTCCAGGACACTTTCAACCGGAGCAGATCGTCGCTTCAAGTAGTCGATGACAGGTCTAGAACAGAAAAAAAAACTTCAATTACTCAAATCGCTGAAAAAATTAACACAAAAATCTATGTGCTCTATGAGCACAAAAATTATTTGATTCAATGAAAGTCCCATCAAATGACTGATGCCTGCTGATTTCATATTGGAACTGGCAAAAAAAATTACAGTTTTGAAAGAAAAATGACTGCTAAATTTTATTTTTAATTTCTACGTCATTTTTTTGTTTTCCTATATATAGTTTCTTGGTAGCTGAAAATGAAGTTTTTATTTGTTTTTGAGAATTAACACAATTTTGTACGATTGAACTTCAATTTAAACCTCGAACCAGGAATTATTTTATTTGTGACCCTATTGGTACTGACCTTTGAAGTCCAATGGCTTTTGCCAGCTTGGTCCAGCTTTCGCTCAGGGCGGCTGCCAGTCGGGATCTGACGAATGGAGGCAGTCGGAACACACGGCCCCCCTGGGAGGAGTAGAGCCAGCTGTTCTCCATCAGACCGGGCGGACACACTGGGATCTAGAAATAGACATGAAATGAAAAAGCCGAGATCTCAAACTGTCATTGCGGAGAAATTTCAATCTATTCCGCTATGTTTAAGCAGTAGTTTGGCATTTTTAAAGACTATTTTTATGAATTTGACACTTAGATAATAGAAAGTAAGCTCGACAAGGAAGGTTCAACTTGACAGACTTTATGATTTCTATTTACCATCATTTCTAGCTTTGGTTAGCTCTCAAGATTCAGCGATAAAGAGTGACTCGTTCTCACCTCATGTGGTTTGATGCAGAAGGGAATCGAGTTGGTCTGCTGTTTTTGGTGTTGTTTTTGTTGCTGTTGACACAAACCAACAGTGGCAGACAATGGCCATAAAGAGGGTGGGGGAGTGGGGGTTTTTCCATCTGACTCATTAACTGGCAGATCTGAAGTCGAGGGGGAGGGGCGGAACTCGAAACTTAGATGGAAGTTTCCGCTGGTGTCGTCTGGTGTCGTTCCAGATTCTCTCCAAGGGAATTATAATTTCCTTTTCTCCACAGTGATTCCACTCATTGCATAACTCACTCACGCCAATCCGCAGTGCACCCTGATCGAAGTGAAGTAGCATCTTAAGGGGCGAGTTGAGAAGGAACCCACCCATCTTCATTTCATCACTCATTGTGCGCTGTAATTGAAAATAGTTAAGTTAAACACTTGAAGCTAAAACCAGGCGCTAAGAGATACTCTCGGTGTTAAGACTTGTATACTGTTTCATGCTCTAGGTGCCCAAAATAACAGTTTTTCTTTTTAAAAAAAGTAATTGGTATGAAAAAAAGCTGAAATCTATCTTAAGTTTTTTTTATTGTATTACTCCTACAAAAGACTCGAAATGTCGAGTTTCGCTACGACTGAACAACTGAAGCAGACGTTCATTTTTTTTAAAGATTGTACTTCTAGATTACGGAAGCCAAGCCAGGTACTTACAGCTAGAGCGTCCTTGTTGTCATTTAGTATGTAGAGTCTGACGCTGTAGTTAGAGGTGGAGCTCAAATACCCCCCGAATAGAAGTAGTTGAGAGTGTTTGGAGGCGGATGAAGAGGGGGAGGCCTTGCCAATCAGACAGTATTTGAAGTGGAGCTTCTCACTTAAGACGTAGCAGCTGTTCTTACCAATGTGCACACATGTGTCTTTCTCTGATTCTCCGCATACCTGTGAACAAAACGTCCTCGTGAACAAAAATAATTAAGGTAAGCCATCTGATTGTTGAGTTTTGCCTGGGCGATAACTTCAGATTTAACCATGATACGCAATTTTTTAGGCGTTTTGAAAAATTAGTATTTATCAGAGATTTTTTTCTTCGAGAATTTTAATAAAAACGTTTGTAGATTTTCATCGGTACTTTCTATATTGAGAAAAACAGCACCTTATGGGTCGTGATTTCTTGGTTTCTTCAGATAAATCTTTGTATCACCAAAATTGCCAGAACTGAAAAAACCATGCAGTAGCTGCATTCATAGAAAGTGCTTCAAAATGATCCTTGAACTAAATGTGAACGAAGCCTGCTCAACAGTAGTTGAACTTTTTCTCTTTTTTTTCTATTCCCTCGCCAATTATAATCTAATAAGGTACAAGCCTCTCTTGTAGTGCAGATTAGAATAAAGTTAGCACACTCCCTCAAAGCTATTTCACTTCACACCCTTTCCTCAAACACTAGTCAGTAATTCCGACCCAACTCTCTTTTAACTTTTTCCTTCTTAGTCAAATGATCTCTAATTGAGTTAGTTCTTTTGCTCTTTCCTCGTTTCTAAATCTGTCAAAAATCAACACAGGTCCCTGATGAAATTAAGCATTAAATCTCCACCTAAGGTCATTTTCAGCTCTTATTTCTCCATAAATTAGGTTGTCGATTGTATGATGCCGTCTCCATGAAAAAAACTAATTTTGTCAAAAACAGTTTTATGCCCACTGCGCATTATGCTTCGGTGATGAAGTGAACGTTTATCTACCTTCCAATGTGCGTTGGGTGTCTGTGTGTAAAGACTTGTGGTCCAGTGATCCGAACTATTGCGACTGGCCGATTGGTCGAATGATAGAATGGCTGGTTTGAGTAGCACTGTGTGTGGTGGTCCTGCGAATACAGTGGCACTGAGTATGGTGTCACTCTTGTGGAGCAAACGGGGGTTCTGTTCCATGTCGGACGAGGAGGCTAGGAAGAGTTCTTCAGTTCTACCCTGCGGAATGGCTCCCTCGGGAATCAACAGACTGATTCCTAGAACACCACAAAAATCATGAACATGTGAACACTTATCCAGTCCAGTATAATATTTCAAATCATTACAGGCATATGAAAAAGTCAAACACTTTTTGTAGATCAGAAGTCTCAAAATGCTTTCATTTGCCTTTTTTGCTTTCATTTGATAGTTTTGCTTTACAAGTAGCTACCAATATGTTCTTGTTGACAATTGAATACTACTTTTTTTTATAATTTCAGCTTATATTTTCAATTTATTATTTCATCTATTCACTTTTATTTTATAAAATAAACATTCTAGGTTAAAATTGGGCTAATTGATTGGTACAGGAAGAGACATCATTGAGTTTGAGGAGAGGAAAAGGATGGAGGATACAACAGTAGATGGGAAATGAGGACAGGGTGGAAAGGGGATCTGGGTTCTAATTAAATCTGGGCGGAAGCAGAGGGGGACAGAAGAAGGGCCTCATTTAATTGTATCGAAATGACGCAAGGATAAAATCATTTCGGCTCACCAGTTTTCACACCTAATTTTCCAACTTCATTGTAATTTACTCCTCAACGGGGAGTGGTATTCTAGTAATAGATATTGAATTGTCCACTCCTATTTATTCCACCTTTCATAATTATGGGTTGGTTGAAAGTATTCAATTCCTGCAATGGGCGGGGTTGGTTTACTTTAGATTAAATTTCTGTCGTTTTTTTTGTGCGATCGCACTGGAACGGCGCCGATGATCACAAGCAACCGTGTCGGTTTCACGCTGGGTTCAGTTACGAGGGGAGGAGGGGAGGTTGGGGTTAAAAGGCAAAGAGTAAAACCGTTATTAATAAGGATCCAACTGTGGTGATCTGGAGGCTATATATAACATCTAACGGGACAGCAAACTGTGAGACAAGATGAAAACAAAAAATATAATGAGGGCAAAGGGTGGGGTTATGTGATGAGGCTAATAGTACATGGGCCCACCCACTGGCTAGTACAGATCAATTGTATTGCATGGATCAAAACGGATCGTTACTGTGCACATATGCCCGTTAGATTATACAGTTACTATAACTGTTATAATAAGTATGAAGTTAACATTAGAAAGATGCGGGTTTTTATCACACTGAACGAGAAAAAAAGCTGTTTTGAAACAATAATGATGAAAATGATGATACCGGGAGAAAAATGGCGGAGGTAAGGATGGGGGTGTAATTTGTTGGGTTACGAGTTGCGACGGTTCTAACCTTCAGATTAGACCTGGATTCATAAATGGGGTTTTATTATTAGCATTTTATAGCTCCTATGTCGCCCACAAATGTTTGTAATTGATGGTGGAATTTTAGCAAACTGACACGCAAGCAGGGAGGGGTTTTAATGGGAACCTAATGGAACGAGGGATGTAAATAGGAACCCAATCAAAGTCAAATCACTACCTGATTGTTTTTTAAACCTTCCTAATTGAAAGTGGGTCGCCTTAATTTTTGCAGCCTAGTTTCGATAGCTTCTAAAGCAGGAATTCAATTTGGTTAATAACGGATAGATTTCTGAGCTTGAAAGGGAACCTCAACGCCAAGGAGTTGTTGAAAATTCTCATTATGGCATTGCATTAGCATATTGCATATTTTTACATAATTTTTATTAATTAATACCTCTATGTTACTAAAAATTTCTTCTCAAGTTCCACTTTTTGACTAAATGTCCTCTAGGTAGAAATTAGAAAAAACAGACAAGGTATTCGGATCATTACGTGCTTCTTTGTTAGGCGTTACACAAGCGAACGAGTACACTTTAAAGATATGAGTCAATTTAAGCTAAAAAAAAATACCTGATTCTGGGAGAGATAGTCTTCCGCCAGCGTATCCGACAAGCCCCACCGCCACCGATCCAGGGTCTATAGAGGGGGGCAGCATACATGTGGAGGAGTATAGAGGCAGAGTCAGATTCGGGTTAGTTGTGGGGTTGTTGCTGTTGTGGTTTCCAGTTACAATAGTGGAGGTATCATCTGATGATTGGCCGTCCTCCCCCTCGTCTAAATTCTGGCCATGATCTCCCTCCCCTTCAGCGCCATGACCAGAATCCACACTAAATCTAAACCAAAAGATAAACATATTCAAGATAAACCAGAAGATAAGCAGGTTCGAAATGAGGAAAAAATAGCTGTTCACTTAGAGTAAAAAATGATAAAACTAGAGCCCAGTTTGCAACCATAGTTAGCTTTTGAAATGAACAATAGATTAATTTTGGCATTTTTGCGTGCAAAACCAATCTTTTTTTTTTCAGTCAAAACCATCTAAGTCCTAAGTCAAAACCATCTAAGTCCTAAAAAAAATACAGACGGAAAAATCAAAATCGGTCATAATTCCACTTTCATGTTAGATAAATTAGTTCAATGGCTCCTATCAACAGTTGAAAGCGACATTATTTATGCCAAACAGCTATTATATTAAATCTGCAATATAAAAAAAATACAGAGAACACGTTCCACTTCAAAGTATTTTATATCTAAATCTGCTCTAAAAAAGATAGTAAAGGTGAAAGGGGCCAAGTTCAAAAGCACTACACGCAGGTGAAATTCTCATAGCACGCTATTCTAATTAGAGGCACCAAGAAAAATATCGAAACAATTTAAAACAAATATACGCAGTAACTTTGAAGTGATTCTCTTTAGTTTGAAATAAAGAGTTTTTTTGATTAGCAGCAAAAAGATCAGATTAAAAACACGAAACAATTTATTGAAAACGACAAAAGGAAGCAAATTGAACAGATTATACATTATAACATCACTATCTGATATATATTTTGACAAAATTAGTTTTTTTATTGTTTCAATTATTTACCTGGAGTGCGCACTGTTTCTCTTCGTCCTACTTCGTCTGCTCCCACGACGCTCCCCTTCCTCCCGCTCGCCCTCCAATTGTGGTCTCTGCTGGTAGTAAGGGTAATTGGGACTAACTGGGTCTGAAATGTGAGCATAATGCGGGTAAAGAGATTCCATCCCCATTGCTAACAGTTGTTGGTGGGGTGCGCCGTGAACGTTGTAGACAGAGGGGGGCGTAGTAGGTGTGGTCGCCCATGCAGGGTGGTGTTCCTCGATGTATTGGTATGTAGGGGTCACTGCCCTTCCTGTACCTCCCAGGTGGTTGGGGTCTGTTGCAGATTGGGTTGTTGGGCTAGGTGTTGACAGAAGCGAGTGATGGTTGATTGACGTTGTCGTAGTCGCAGTTGACAAATGATGATGCGCATGTTGGTTGTTCGAGTAGTGCGACCCACTGTTGCTGCCCGCACTTCCGCATGATCCCCCCACCAGTGAATGAGGGTGGGGCATGGTCATGTGGTGATGGTGTCTTAGTAAGTGTCCATGTGAGATATGGTACGGCATGTCAATCATATTGCCCATAGCGCCTACAATTACAAAAAACATCAGTCATTACTTGTTTCGAAAAAGAATAAAAATTTAACAAGATTTATTCTAAAGCCATTAAAGATAAGTTTTTTATATTCAAACTTTATTTACTCAATCTTTCTGGTATTAACACCACATTCCGTTTCTTTCAGTGCATTTTATAAACTATCTGCCATTGATACGTGCATTTTCGAATCGAGAAAGCAGCTTGTGGTGACGCTATTTTGTCTGCGACCTTGGTGTTGTTCAAATTGACAGCTAGCCCAGAGTCTGTGATATTTTAATATCAAATTTAAGAGATCGCAACAAGTGCTAGTTAGTTTTATTTCGCGATTAGTTTAAATCGCAACAAAATCGGACTAGAAATTTCAGAAAAACATGGAAGAATTGGAGAAAAAAGGAGAGCAATTTTGAAGAGTTTGAGTAAGTCGGGACCAGGGGTTGGAGGGGAGGGGGTTGTGATTGAGGCGGTTAAGTGGCTCAGGTGTGTAAATCTAGTAATCGCCACTTTGTTGTTTGGTGTTTCTATCAAATGGTGTAATCAGTGACCGATTTATTGCAGAGATAAGACAACACGAGGAGTCGTCGTAAACACAGGTGGTCCTTGTAATAGCTGTTATATTTACCAACCTACGAATTTCAATGCCAACTTAACCCAGTCTTGAAAGTCAACTTAACTTAGTCTTGACAGACAAGACACAACATAAAAGGAGAAAAGGCAAGGGCTGACTTCACTTAGCTCTGGCCACGTGAAAAAAAAAACGGAAAACTGGGAAAATCTTAACCGATAAGTAATTTAATTTGCGTGAAGTTGGGACAAAAATTACTATCTTAATTAGAATTGTGGAAAAAATCAATTGATGAAATCAAAGATTCGATTGTGAATTTTTGTTAAAACTTTTACTCTGTTGTTCTCTGTCTCGTTTAAAATGCAAATTGAGGCAGTTAGTTTGAGAAGAAGCTCAATTGTTCCCACAGACCATTTGAACAAATTGGCCCAATTTACATTTTCACTCAGCCAGAGAGAGAATAGGAAAAGTGAGGGGAAGAGTGAGAAAAAAGCGAGGGTTATCGATGAGCTGAAAGAGGCTAAACCAATCAGAACATCGCATTCAGAGACAGCAACCTTTATCACTCCATGTAGTGGAAAAAGTTTTAAATTATTCATTTATCATACTTAGTTCTTTGATTTCTCATATTATGGTTTTGAACGAAAAGAGACGTGAAAATGAAACATTTTAGACGCCTGAAAAAAAAAACAGACTGAACTGTCTAATGGTGTACCAAGTTTGCTTTTGAAAAATTGCAAATATAAAAGAAAGTGGGTGGGTAGGTGGGAGTAAAGTTATTTTCATCTGTTTCTTATAAAGCCTCAAATACCAGCTTAAAACACTTTTTTTTTGCAACGGAGCTTTTGAATAGTTTGGCCCAATATTTCATAGTTCAATATTTCCATTAACTATATACATAAAACATGACCCTGACTTAGCCCAGCGAATTGATAATTTTAATGGTCATTTGAATAAATGCAGGATGATGTTTGGATACAATTTATTTTTGCGGATTGGAAGCGAGGCATATGTCTGGTTATTTTGGGAAGTGGGGGCGCCAGAGAAGAGTAAGCTCCATTTCACTAACTGCATTTAAGCTACAAAGACAGACGAACAGACGGCGAGTTAGGATAAGATTTGGACCGATTTTGCAGATCTGATTGCAATCGAATTTATTACACTTCATTTGGCTCTATTACTACTGTTTTGTTTTGGCTTAGGTTCCTTTGTAAAAGAGTAGAAACAATATAATCCAGCATCAATGACTTTTATTGTGAAGTTCTGTTTTTTTTCAGAATCCTGAATTTGACATCTTAGAAGAATTTTTTAAAATTTAATTTTTTTTAGAAACTTGCAAAATTTATTATTTTATCACGTGCAAAAATGCATTAATAATTGCGCGACACTTCTTATTCCAATTTCACAACTTGTATTTAAGGCTTCAGAACATTCGGTAGGCAAATGAAGTTTGAGCACTGCGTTTTTTTCATGACTATCATTAACTAATGACATGAGAGGCTGGTGTTAATATCAACATATATCTGAATGCGTCGATATTAGGAGTTATTTTTTGTTACTTACCATGAAGATGATGATGTTTGGAAGCAGCCGCTATTGTCCCGCATTTAGTTATTGTCAGTCCTGTTTCGCCCGTGCCAGCTGTCCCAGTGCCAGAGTAGGATGAGAGTCCAACACTCGGATAATGCTGGTGTCCTAATAACAAAAACACGAATATCATGAAAAGAAAAACACTTTTTCCACTGTATTTGGTGTGTTGCATTCAGCATGCCTTCTTATACACGATCATGAAATAATAATCATAAAAAATGATACCAAAAGGACCAATTTGTGCATGTAATGAGGTTCTGTCCGAAACTTGAGAGCTCTTGAAATCAACCCAAATACACCTTGATAAAGGGTCCAAATCAGTACTTTGTGGTATAATCTTTCTAATTCATCATTTACTACTGCTATAAAATGATATTTCTTCAAACATCCTTAATCACTTGGACATGACGGCTTGTATATTTTTATGTTGATATTAAGAAAAAAAAGGAAAGGGTATGAAACAGCATTTAAGAGTGAAAAAAAGACGAGGAGAGAATTCAAGTTTTCAGTGGTAAGTAAACTTAGATGGATAAAACCATTACGCATCAGGTTTCTCGATTCCATTAAACAACTTCAGCCATGCCATCACATACCGAAAAAATACACATGTAAACTTAGCTTTTACAATCTCACGATGTATTGAACGGAAAGAGAAGAAACGAAGTAGCTGGTTGTAAAAAAAACATACCATTTCCCAAACACATCTATTTTAATCTATTTTGTGGCCTGTCCTTCTAAGCAGAAGTACCATAATTCACGTCACGGAAGCGTGGTAAAGTAATTAAGTATACATGTATTAAGTCTAATCATTTCTTATACTCTCAGTTGGAGTGGTAAGCGTAGCGTGTTGTCAAATAGTCTCTTCACTTTTGTTTCATTCCATTACCATTCCATCATCCATTACCATGTCCAATACCATTAATTTACTATATAGTTCACTATGGTATAGTACCAATTGCTCTTTTTCCTAGGCTGCAAACTTAATTGTATACACCAACTCCAGCTGATACTCACATTATAATGAAATACTATGCACAATACTGAATGGAAAAATCAGCCCCCCCCCCTGATATGATTATGAGTAGTAGCATGCCTCCAAATAAAAAACAGATAAAAAAACATCTCCTGCGTCGCAAAGCTGATTGAAATCGTTTCTGACTCATAAAAAGACTAAAACTATAAGATTAAATTCGGCATAATTTTAGCTTGAAGCGGAAAAATATATTCGTTTTTTCTCAGCTTCTCAGATTTAGCTATGAGGTAATGAGATACCAGAAGTGAATTGAATTAGCATTAATCATGCAAATTAACATTTATCTCCTCTGCCGCTCAATCCAATTAGTTGTTCTAATGGAATGCAGCCGAGCACTGCAACTGTTTAAAAAACAATATCACCTCGTAATAGCTCGCAACTCAATTACGCGGCATGTCTTAGGGACACTTTTTCGTGTTCGATTAATTTTAAAAAATGCTTTTATGCTCTGTTATCCTCAGAACATAATCATCGTGTTACATTTTTTATTAAGACAATAATCGAAAATAAGGAAAAAGTGTAAATGGAATAACATCGGAATGGTTTTCTTAATTATAAGTTTAATTAGTCTTTTATTTGCTTTACCTTATGCATTTTGAAATTAGTCACTAGATTAAAATCTATGAAAAAACAATCAAGCAATTAGTTATTTGAGAAAAAATCATTGATGACTGAGAGTGATTCTAGGTTTACTTGTTTCGAACATTGACAAATAGGTAAATCAATTTTTTTTTCAATTTTGTGGTCGAACACATGCAAAACAATTAAGAAAACTATGAAATTTTCTTAAATTAACAGAATGCAATCATTATAATTAGGCTAAGATTTACTCACGTTCGTCTAATGACAAAACTCCAGCGTAGAACTTGTTGCGCCTGTGAATCAGGAACAACACTAGAAGCGCCACCGCCAAAAACACCGCAACAATCATCACTAGTCCGACATACAGAAGCACTTCCTTCAAAGACAGATGTCCCGGATCGCTCCTTACCACACCCCCGTGTCCGGGCTGAAGTGGGGACAGGGTACGGGTAGTGCCAGCTGAATTGTAATAGGGGACAGGACACTCTCCCCCCGTGCAATTAGATCTATCCATTCCGCTGCCCAGACACGGGAGTCCCCCGTGTGAGGGAGGGGGGTTGATACAGAAGCGACGACGGTATTTCGTACAGCTCGCCCCACAGTTGCTCCAGTCCCCCCAGACGCCCCAGCCTCCATTTTCTGAAAAAAAAAGATTTATAACCCATACAATGTACCGAGAAGCGCATGTGTCATTAATTGAATTAAATTTGATCCATTGCAGAAAAACATGGATTTTAAACGAAATGATAGATAAATAATTTCAATATAACAATGGTCATTGTATTGGTCAAAATTGCCAAAGCCATTGGTAAAAATGATGTTTATGTATATCTTGTTGTTTCAGTGCGCACTCATCTGTAATTACTTAATTGTCTTGGCGCTATGATGGTACACTTTGTTTTGATTTTGCACAGAAAGCAAAAGCCACCGGAGGCCAATTTTCAAATTAAGCCATCGGCGGACTGAAAGATTTAATTAAATCATCATTGGTCTGAAGAATAACTGAGTTATTACACTCTGCGCAGCTGAAAAAAGTAACGCAGGCCATAACATAAACACTCAGCTGCAGCCTAGTTAATTAGAGGGGCATTCAACTGTGATGATTGGTTAATTTGATGATTAGATGAGCACAATGATTATGATGATGGTAATGTCTATTATAAAATGATAATAGAGCAGAAAAAATGGTACCATTCAAATAATAATTATAGTCACACCGATTCCATATGAATTGTTAATCCAGTTTTGCTTTATGAAAGGAGCTCAAAAATTGACCATTTTGAGTTGACTCCATAAGTTTGTATCTTACTTGCTCAAAATGTTGACCAAATTTAATTGAATACATATGTTCGTAACTTACTTGGGCACATTTTGGTGCAATCGGCAGTCTGGGTCGCCTCCCCCTCGCACATCTTGGAAGACTCCTCTTTAGATCCAAACGTCCCCTCAACTATATCAGCCTCTTCAATTTCTTCGTCTTTGTCTCCCTTTCCATTCTTCTTTCTCTTTTTCGGTTTCTGCAGCAAAGATGGAGGAGTAGATTCTATAAGAATTGAGGATATGGATCTGGATTCCCGACGATTGACACTGGAACCGGACGATGCCGATGCTTTGGTTATCAAGCACTCTCTGTGTCTGGACTGGGTTCCCCTTCCACACTGGCTACTGCAGTCACTCCATGCACCCCAAGAAGCCCAATTGCCTCGCACTTAAAGAGAAACAATTTAAATTGAGCTAAACTAATTGAGTGTGCCAAAAATTTGATGCAGAGCAAAAAATTGTAGACGAAATCATTGATTAAATCCGAATTAAAATCTAGACATTTTGGAAAACAGCAAAATTATCAATTTAAATTCATAAATTGACAGCAGTATTTGCCATAAACCCCATCCTTAGTCATCAAACAACTGCTTATTTTGGAACCGGACACTTCATTAATATGCAAGCACAACTGTCGCGCAATCAGTACTTCAACAGAAAATCCAACTATTTCACTAGTCTAAAAATATCACATTGGCATCGAAATATCATCATGGCTAAAAAACAACAGTAAAAAGCAGCAAACAAACAAATTCATTATAAATTCTCATCCAGATGTCCATCAAAATCATCGCTGTCACTTCCAATCAAATTTAGTCAACTGTTTTTTGAGTCTTCTGCTTTTTTAAATCCCAAGAGGGCCAATCAACATGGCTGTGACAAGAGTTGGGGCAGAGCATTGTTATCGTGGTCAGATTTAATGGGAGTCATGAATTGGAATTTTTGACGCGATGTGAATTTTTGTTTCTAACGAAGTGTAATTTTTCAAACCGAAGAAACGCATAAGAATAGTACGTCCATATAAATAAAAAAACTCGACAATTTTCCATAATTCAGGATGATCGTCACGATACCTAAAGCTCACTGTGGGCGATACGATACGAATTAAAATGAGACATGCATGATATCTATAATGGGACATAAATGAGATTCATAATGGGACATACATGATAAACAGCGATGGAATGGGACACAACTTGGAGAAGTGAAGGATGCCTTGGGAAACAGGACGGAAACTGGGAGATAGGAAGGGGTGGTGTCACGTAACTAATCGCATATCTGTCACTTGTCACCTCATCATTAGTCACAGCGAGTGATTAATTTACGGGTGATTGGATTGGATTAGGGTGGGTTTAAAGCACTGTCTTAAATAAATCTAACCAGCCATGCTTTTTAAAATATTTAATGGGTTTATTGAGCTCAATTTGGTGGTGGACTTGAACTTGAATTATGGCCATTAATACTCTGGTGTTGAAATGGTACATATGGCATTGAACTTGAAGAACAAATTTGGGGTATCGGATGAGTCATTGTTGCAGAGGGGGGAGGGATAGGATTTAATTCGTCAAAATTTTGACAGTGGACTTCTCAGATTGTGAAAAAAGTGGATTAGGGGAGAAATTAAGAGTGGAAAATTGAGAAGGGAAGTGTGTGTAATAATTTCCGGCTGACTGGGCTCAGAAGTAATTAGACTCGTTACCCGCATCCCCTTTTGCTCACTCCCCCAATCTCCCATTTCAGCCCATCCGCATCAGGCCAACTCATTTCAGAAGGGGCAAATTTAGAGGAAGTGTCTTATTTCACGCATGTAGTCACCTAACCCAACCAGTCGAGCGTCTAATTCGAGCAGACATTGGAGTCCAGAGGGACCCAAATGACTCAGCGCAAACATAAAATCCAGTTTAAAATTCGGGTGAAAATTGGAGAGTAAGGGATGCGTTAAATTGGATCTCTATTAAGTGTCGACGTCTTATGGTCTGTCAAGGCACTCCGAGACTTTACAGATATATAATCACCGAAACACGAAATTTACTTGCTTTTTTAGCACAACAATTGACTGGTTGAGAGAAAGATGATGCTATCTGGTGTATTTTTTTAAACGTGAGATGAAATCGGGAAGACAGATCAAAAACTGGAGTTTGGGACAAGATGGTCAATTGATTTCAGTAGCGTAAGCTTTGACTTAAGACAATTAGATTTGAGCTATCTCAAAACGAGAAACAGTTTATTAGATATCATTGATTGGCCTGAAATGATATGGGTGTTTTGAACTCTTGTAAGAGCATGGTTTGTAAATGCAATGATGTGATGTATTTTACCTGCGATGGTGAGGGGTGCTGCCATAGTGACTCGATCACCCGCCATGTTCTCCGCCACACACTCGTACTTCCCCTCGTCTTCGTAGGAAGCCTGGTGGATCAGCAGTGTTCCTGAAAAAATCCATAATCATCATCATTAAATTGTTTTCACCATAATAAAAACATCGTCATCAGCATCATCATCATCATCACCATCATCATCGAGGTCACAATAATTATATTAAAAAATTTTGTACCATGTCAGCTGATCAAGTCAAATCGTAGTATGGGCGAAATATACCAAAAACAAAACTCATCAAATGCGCCCTCATACCATCAATCCAGAAGTTTGCTTCGATCAAAAAATAAAATTTAAATACTGTTCATGCATAGTAAAAACTCACGATATGGACACCACATCATCATAGGGCCACATAATCAGATTAATAACAGAAACAATTCTACTCCTTCTTTAGTTATCATAGACAGAGACTAAGGGTAGTTAACTTGTAAGTTCATGACAACGTTTCAGATCATTTTTGTATCACTGACTATGGCCGAACAAAAACGGATTGAACTAAGAGAAAAAAATATCAGATAGGATTTGGATAGGTCAGAACAAACAAGCGTCTCAAAGACTCGCAAATCGCGCCGCTTAACAACTGCCAAGGGTTCTACAATATTCTAAACCTTACAGTATCCTTTGCCTTATAAGACCCCCCTGCATTTATTGATTCGAAACATACATACACAAAACTAGAAGCTGCGGCGCAGTCATTGCAGCTTGGTTCGTAGTTAATGCCCTAATGCTGGTCTAATGCACTTATAATATGTCTGTTATTGCAAGTAAACCACGATGAATCCCTGAGTATCCAAGGTTGGCGCAGGCATTACTGCTGCTAATCTCAATCGAATTACACCCTGTCACCCACCCCCACTCGCCCTAACAGGGGGGCCTTAGAGGAGAATTACTATGGCCTATGAAGATCAAGTGTGAATTGAGGGGATTAGTTTAGTACATTAAGGGGCCATTAAAAAGAGATCCTTCTTTTATTGCACCATCGCATGCGCTCTCCTTCTTGTTAATTCCAATCTTAACTGAGATATTATCTATGATATAATCCTTAGTCTTTCTTAGAAAATATATATTTTTTTAAATTCTGCCAGGGACTAGCAATGTCCATCCTCGTTCCTAAAAGATCTTACAAGTTTTTATGGCATTTCACCTCGTCAAAAAGTTGTGGGTCAATGAATGACCGATCTAGATATGAAATCATCAGCCGGCTTCTCATCTTTTTTTTCGTCCCAATTATTTTTGTAAATTACATTTTTTCTGGAACTGTCTCGTAACTGGATGAACTTTCATCCACTGATATGAAAGTGGACATGAAAGATTAAAAAAAGCGTGGAGGAAGATAAGCCGACAAGTATAAGGCTGCCACTCTGATGAACCACTAGATACAACTCCCTTTTATGATCCTTTTGCCCTCTGTGCTGTATGCAAAGACTGGATAGATAAAAGAAAAAAAGGATAAGTATTTTCCCTGCTGTTCAGCTGAATATTTTTTTCCAGAAAGTTTGTTCATTAGTGCCCTATATCAACTAAGTCAAAATATATAAGCATTTTTAAAAAAGAATTATTTAAACACGTTGTTGGAATTGGTTGATTGAGTCGGGTTGATTTATGGATAGGCTACAACTTCGCTTATTGACTTGGCACTGCTCCTTACAATTGGCAATTCGTAGGTTCGCTGCCCTAAATATGTTCTATCGCGTCTTTTTTCTGCCCTGCATTTGACATTGATGTATGTTATGTCTACAATTCTCTTTTAAAGTTCTAATCTCTTAATGTGCAATAGAGTATCGATTTATTGATCTGTGGCCGCTATGCCGGCGGGACATCGATGCTGATATGTTTTTAGTCCTGTGGGCTTAGTTCGGGGGTTGAGGTCATAAATAGAGAAACAGACTGCGCATCATTATCCTAATCGAAACCCAAATCGTCATCGCCAGCCAAATCATCCTGATGTTAGTAATAGTTGCATCGCGACATGTTTAGTGGACTTGGTCGATAAATACAGATAAACTAGAGGGGAAATTAAACCCATTGGGATACATGAAAAAACAATTGTGAACAAATGATAAAAAGTTAGTTTCTCCAGGTACTGGTACATAAACCGACTTTGAACAGCTAGTAAACAACTAAAAACAAACATCTCTTGGATTTATTTCCCCCCACTAGTCTTCATCGATCTGCGGCTCGTGATTGAAGTTCGGTCTGAATCTAATCATAGCAACCTGTCTGATGGCCAGAAGGGGGAAGTTGAAGATATAAGAAGAACTGGTTTGTCAACACTGAATTACAGAGTTCGGGCATTTTATTGATCCATGATTAGTCATGGAATCATGCTATTTTCAAAAATTTGTTTGTTTTAGATAAACTGGTCATATCACGACCAACACGTAAAGCGATTTCGTGGAAAAAATCAACTTTTTAATGTTTGTCGTTAATTAAGCTCAAAACGGTTTGTCGTTAATTCAGTTCAAAAATGCTCTGTTTTAATAAATTGATTCCATATCTGAGGTTATTCAACAGACAATTTTCAATTTTCATAATTCTGATATTATGTAGGGACATCAAAAGGTTAGATAGGTCTTTTCAAGTGATGCCTTTTGAGTTCATCAGGTGAAAAGTGTAGGAGTGGGGGGGGGGGGGGTTGTTTGGTTGGTACTACTAGGTAAGGTACTTGGCCCCATTGTTCGTGCAACTCCCCCTTTTTAGAGACCTTTCCTGTCAGTTGTTCTCTTTTTAATAGCCCACACAAAGAAACACAATTGAGCCAATGGAGTGGATGCAGAATATGCATTAAGAGTTGGTATGACTTACTAAAAGAGTCTATTAGTATCAATGAAATCCAATTGAGATGCTCTTTGGACCGTGAAGTGTATTTGACAGGGCATGAATGAAACTGCCTTTTAGCAGGACAAAAGAGCAGTCAAGGCGACTCAGCCGGACCCCAATTGCACATGCAGTACAACTACGACCAAGCAAAAGTTATCAACCAGAAAAAAATTAACCCACTTTAACTGGTCTGTCTGGAAGAAGAGATTCTTCACTTTTAAAAATAAGCCAAATCAAAGCCAGAACTAGGACAATTCTCCCTCCCCAACCAGCCGATCAAAGAGAACCAATTTAGGGAAAAGTCGGAACAATAAAAAAATTACATCCTTATATTGGGTCATGATCCACTCTTAAGTAATCTTATCTAAACTGTAATCCAATTTAGTCTGTTGTATTTTTAAGTCTCATTCGGGTCTATCTTATCTTGCTTTGCTTTTCTGATGAGTCTAATTTTGGCAATTGATAATTGGATCGACTCTCAATTGTGAGTGTTGAATGAGCTGTCAAAATGGCACAAGATAAGACGAGAAAAAGAGACAGAAGGAAAAATGTGAAATTAGAGGATTAACACTTAACAAAAGTTGGCTTTTATTTTGAAAGGAACTCATTTTATTAGTAGTATAAGCCTGCCGGGGGTTTAGAAAGTTAAGACCAAAATGGTGATGGTTTTGAAGTTCAGGGGAGGGAGGGTGGGGGGGGGGGGGGGGAGAGGTAAGTAGTTTAATGTAGCACTTACTGCCATTGTTGGATATGTGATAGTTTGGGTGTGTCTCCGTACTGAGAGGTGTGGCCTCCCCCTCCCCTTCTAGTTGGTCCTTGTCTTGTTTTCGCCAGTAGACTGAAGGTGGAGGTTGTCCATCGGGAGGTGCACACAGGAACTCTGCTTGTTTGCCCAGATCAACTTCAAGTCTGAGTGGTTCACGCTCAAACGATCTCTTCAGATCTGGAACAGTTGTAAAAGACCTCAAAATTTGATTCCTTGACAAATATACACTTTCTATTATATCACAAAACTGTTTAAGTAGATTTCTATGTTATCTATGCGATGGAACAAAAAATGAAGTCACGCTTCCAGAAAAAAAAACAATTTTGGGCTTCGACTGTTTTCATTTTTTGTTTCCGGAGCTTGAGTACAACCAGAGATTTTGATCGATCTTGTTTATATTTACTGCTCTGATGATTATTTTGACGTGAACAAAAATCCGAAGCTCAAAAATGGCGACTCACATGCTAGTCGGATGGTGGTTTGATCACTCTCGATCTCGTACCAGTTGTTGTTCTTACTCCACGCCACACACACGCACTGTTGCATCGCACTCTCCGCTCCCCCCGAGGAGTCGGGCCCATCCCCTCCCCCCATCAGGAGATTAATGTCCACTAGATCCACACGCGTGAAATCTAAATAATCACGGAATAGTTTCACTCAGTGTTTTTCTGACTGTAATGGTTTTGTTTTGAAATATAATAAAACTATGCATTTTTAATAACGTTCATAAAATGGTTCTTAAAGATAAACTAAGCTCATCTTAGTATTATACCCAATCTTTTTAAATTTTACTTGTTCAAATATTTTAATGGTTCACAAAAAATTGCTGATTTTTCCAGATTGTGGCCAAAAAATTAATGGATCGATTAGACAAGTGAAAACTTGTTTCATGAATAAAGCATCTGCGAATATTACAAATTTCTGAAGATAAGTTCATTTTTTTGCCACTTGTTGTGCTATTAATAAAAAAATGGAAGCCAAAAACAGCACATGTGTAAATACTCACTGATAGATATCTTCTCTGTGTCTTTTTCTTGATTGTGAGTGAGTGAATACTTGGACACCTGGACGAAGTCTCCGTTGCACTTGATGGCCAGTTTAGCCACATGCAGAGCCTCACACTCCACACTCACAGCCGAGTCTCTTACTATATAGTAGATTGGGCGGGGTTGCAACACAAACACACTCTTCACTGGAGGGGGAGTTCCATCTACGGGTAGTTGGGGGCACATCAGCAAACAAGCCATGAGTAGAAGAGGAAGAACTGACATCATTGAGGAAATAGGGGCAGAAGACAGGCTGTTATAACTGCAGTTGCTCTTTGTACTCTTTTCCGCCTTCATTGCTAAACAAGCCACAATAAATTTAAGATTTTTGCCTTAAACGATTTGAGTAATCGAAACAACCATTGAAAAAAATTTTTAAGTTTTTTTTGAAATTCTTGCCAGCAAATTTTCAAAGAAATTGTTGAAAGTTATATCATCTCAACTGGATTTATTTTGTTAACGTGGTAACAAGATTTGCTTCAGAATATCCTTTCGCCAATGAATGAGGCAGCTAAATATGCGTTTCTCTTAAAAATTCGAAAATTGCGCTGTTTTGAAGACTCGTTATGAATCGAAACACGGGACTCAACAGAAACTGGTTTGATTCTCAGTTAGTGAATTTTTGTTTTGACTTATTCATTGTGTTTACTTATTCGGTTCTTCTTTTCACACCTGGACATGTTAGTGGGAGAGATGATAGTCGGAAGATAGACCAGAAAACTTATAGAAACACCTGTCTAAGAATAGGAAAATAGGAAAGGGGGCTCAAAGACACTCTCAGCGGGGTGCGATTAATGGGCTGAAGAGAGTCAGAATAGTAAAGCCTTAATTTAGATAAAAATCACCCACAAATAAATTCAACGGCACCAGTGCCAATAACGCAAAAACATACAAAGCAGCCCTTCGCCCGAGATATCCAATCAAACATTGAATCCAACCGAAGATCGAAACTGAAGATAAACTCAGTTAACTGTTCTAGCCTTCAGTTCAATCTCAAAATTGACTGTCTCTCCTTTCTAGATATTCAATATGTCCCGCTGTTCCCTTTACATATTTAGTGCTAGGTTCAGTTCTAATTTCGGCTGGGTCTGGTTTCGCGAGGCGTCTAGATCAAGATAAGGTCAAACCAAATTAAAAGTTAGCTGGAAAGAGGATCGACTTGTGAAAGGACTTCTTACCGTAATCAGCCGCTCGCACCACACGACACAAAACAATCCCCGATGTAAGCGCCATTTTCAACAATGTGATAAACCGGATGAACTGAAAATGGATCTCTACTGGTCTGTTAATCAAGTCTTTTGAAGAAAAAAAAAACAACTAATGTTAATCAAAAATGAAAGCAAAAAAAGAGTTATCACAAATTGAGAAAAAATCAGTGTTGAGATGACTGGTCGATATAAGAAAAAATGAAAAGATGGTTAAAAAAAAGTGTTCTGGTCTGCGAGATGGCGTCGCCGGGCGGGCCATGATTAAAAGAGGTGATTTTTCAAGAGCACGAAGTGTAACAGGTGTTTAAACTCCTGATTGAAAGCACCGCCTGAGTCGTCTTGTTTCTGTCTCGTCTTTTTCTGGCGCATTTTCTGATTTTGCCATTTAATTATCAGTCTCTTTTCTGGAATTACAAGCTTTTTGAAATTGTAGCAGCTATTTTGCCAGCCCCAAAAACAGAGGAGTATTTAGCTACAGTGAGGGTAATAAAAAAGACTATATAAGAATATAAAACAGTCATATGCGTCTGAAGATCGGATCCCTTGCATTATCTATTGGTGCCACCCTCTTCCAGAAATAACCAGTCAGTCGAGACAATGGAGACAACGTTGCAGTCACCAAGACTAGAACCAGGCACTAACATTGACCTTTATTGCCTAGAGCGAGACCGATAGATGATGCAAAAACGGATACTTAGAAAAAGACGCGTCAAAATGGAAGAAAATCACGACTATAAAAATCCACTTCATAGACAAGGATACGATTCAAAATCGACACATCTGTTATTCGAAGGCGGGATAAAATTGATGACCAAAAATATAAGCTATACTTGGCAGCGGGTTGGCTTATATCGGCGTCTGAGTCTGGATTCAAGAGACGGATAGCTGGTTGATGAAAACTATGGGAAAAAGCGACATCGAAACTCATCGATCATCGTAGCCAAAATTTACAAACGCTCAACAGAAGCGAAGCCGACGATCCTGCGAAGACCCTAGACATAGACACAGTCGGTCGGTTCATTCGTCAAAAATTAGGAGTAGCATTTTACTTACATTGAGGTTCACTGATGATTTTTAGTTTGTTAAATCGGGAGCGGTTGGAAGTATAATAGCAAGGCAATAAGGACCGGAGACGGTATAAATTTCTGATTATTAATGTATGGTTGCTCGCTTGATGCAGTTTTATGTCCGCTCATTTAATTGACTGCAGTTGTCGTTTGATTTGGCGCCAGGAGGGAGGAGGCACCACATGGAATGACAGTTACTCTATTATGTAATACTGTAAATGGTGATATAGTTGTGTGGTCTATAGTATGTCTATGAGCTGTTCTGTTTGGCAAACAGAAGGATTAGTGTGCGGTTCTGTTTACTGCGCATCCTAGAGTCTGTTTCTTCAAAGCTAGCTTCTATCTTATTTTGAGAGCCTCTTTTTTTAAAGATAGTTTTGGAGGAGTCTGGCGTCAAGTAAAATATGATCCTAGTAAATTATTTTTTTTTCAAAGAAGGAATGAATCCGTTTTATGGTAAATTCAAAATGAAATCACGTGGAAAAATTAATAGTTATGTTGTGTTTGATGGTAACAAGAAGGCAGACACGCCGACGTTTGCGATTTTACTTGATCCTAGTCTTAGTGTCTCTTTGTCTCCTTACGAAGTATACAAAACAAGGACACGCGATGAAAAGATGATGTTGAAATTCCAAATTATAATTTTCAATAAAAATACATTAATCAAAGTGAATTTTTTTGTTCATTTTTGGAGCAGCAGTTTTGTGTAAATGAGAAAATATTGTCCAATGAAAACAACAACCGGATTAGAGCGAATTGGATGTTAATTTGACTTGATTTTTTTTTCCTATTTATCTATTTTGCCTAATTTGATGGCTCTATTGTGCTAATCGCGGAAGCAGACACCGGCGCGCCTATCCGGACGCTGGCTAATCCGGCCGGTCTCAACTGCGGTTGGAAATGGCTGCAAATTGTAATTACCTGGTCGGCGCGTGGAATTGATGTCGATAATAATGAGCCCCTGGTTCAAATCTGCTTCATTGATAAATACTATATGGAGATATATAGGCGGTCTCGAGAAATGATTATTGTTGTTTTTTGTTGTTATTTTAGAATCTTTTCAAGAGTGGTCTTCAATACTGCAAAAGTGGGACTTGTATCAACAAGCCATTCAAAAAAGGCCAATTAATTAATATAATAGTTGTTCTGTTTATGTTATTGATGTTTATGGTGCTCAATGCACTGTGCTATGGTATATTTATGATAGAATACATTATCCAATCATGTCATTATGTTGTGATGTTAGGCAGCCAACGAGGCGTCAGACAGCACAGCTAATTGGCTAATTGACACAACAGCTCACCTGAGCCACTCATTCTCTTATATAAACTAATCTTCTAATCAAAACACACATTCAAAAATGAGGCTAAAATACATCAAGCACCTCTCAATCTCTATGTGAGTACGTGTGAGTGTGTATGATGCATACATCAGCGCACCATACGAGATATGTTAATTTTTTGCTCTACTGAGACTAGACCAGGTATATAGATAATTGTACTATTATAAGTGTGCATTAATTAACCAATTATCATTATGTGATTAGAAAGAAAAACATAAATTTGACGAGCGAAAAAAAAGACAGGTGGCTCCTAACTGTCTGTTGCTGTTGTTAGAATGAAAAAAAAATACAAGACAACAAATTCAAAAGAAATGAAAATTTGAGCAAAAAAGTCAAATGGCGATGTAAGATAATGTTCATACATTATGACATCGAAATCATCGGCAAATTGTACGCACCTGGAAACGCTGTTCCAAGATCTGCTCGATATTCCCAAATCTGCCAAGACCAAAATCGCAAGATCTAAATGAAGCACAAAAGTTGTGTGTGTAATGATGATTACTGTCTCAGTTATCTTGACAAGTTTTTCGATAATTCGAATTAAAATCCAGGAATTTTGTCTCCGCGCAAATTACCAAGCACTTACATAAGTGAAATTAGATGGTATGATTTTTTTTGAGGCATCATCGGTGATATCTATCAAAAAAGGAAGAAGAGTTGCAGTTTTATGATGTATTTCGTAGTTGCTTCAGTAAAAAAAAAACTTAGATATAAAAATGACAGCGCACATTGCACAGAGCTGACAACAATTATAGCCCACGGGATGCCAAATCAATAAAGAGGAAGAAGTATTTGATACGATCTTACAATCTTTCAAAAATCGAATTAATTTTCTTAATTACCCTGAATAGTACCAATTAATCAGTGCAATCTGTACCTACTGCATGAGAAACTACCATTAATACCTAATCGACAAGATATTAATCTCAGTGGATTAGCAGTTTGGTTTAAACAAGGACGGATTAGTCTATACCAAGTGCAGTTTGGATTACGATTAGGATCGAAATTTTTTTTTCAATAACTTTAGCTCATCTGATAAAGATAAAACTGAAATCGAGGCCTCCAAAAAATCTATGAGTATGTAAAACTGAAACAAATATTTGAATCAGTTTCACTCTATTTCTGTCGGAGTTATAGAGATCCAAAAACTCCATCAAATAATCGAAAGTCGGAACAAAAACCAGTGAAGTCGTGACAAATTGGGTTCACTCGTTTGTCTGAGTGTAATTTCGCCTCATTTGCCGACTTGCAAGTCAAGACAGACAAAAAAGATGAAAGAGGAGACTCTCGGCCTTGATAGAAGTCTCAAACTCTAATGAGCATCAGACTCAGACAGAAACCAATTAAGACTCCCGCTCGCGTCTTTTTTGCGGGAAAAGAGAGGCGAGAGAGGAGAGAAAGGTGTATTGAAATTGCACTATCAATTGAAACGGTGATTAAGCCGGCGCATGGGCATGGGTGACTTTAATTGGTACTTAAACGAAAATCAAAGGAAATTTTATCTTTCACTTTCAATTTTTATGTAAATATTATAAGCGCAGCAAAATGATATGTAAGTTTTGCCGCTTCTGATGAACAAGAATCAGCAGAAAAGAATGGATTTTTGCTTGTTGAAGATGAAAAACTGAGATTTAGACTTGAATTCACAAAAAAAGTGATGGATTCAAAACGAGAGTCCGGAGTTTTTTGCAGGTAGCAGAAAAAATTGATAATTACGTGTCCTGGATCTTGTCTCTCTTGCGGCACAAATTTGAATTCACTCTATAACTTTACCAAGGTGCTGAAGGTGCTGATAAAAAATGATCTTAAATTTTGGGTTTTTTTAGGTCGACCAAGCTGATTTTCCGAGCTATTCCAGCAAATTACTAGAGACTCTTTTTTTCACCAATAGCCGCAGTAGAATGTTTCCGAAAACAGGCCAAAATATTTTGGGCCGTATAACAGAAAAAACAACGTTTTTAGCGCACGGATCAAACAGTGTTGTTTCAATCATTTGGCTTCGATTGACCTTTCCCCTGCAAATCTAGGCCTAATATCTTAGAGGGTCGACATACAACGCAAAAAAGACCGAC